TCGAACTCTATGGTACCGGGCAGTGAGCACAGGGCCCACTAGACGTCGGGTCTTCAGGCCACCCTCATGAAGTCTGTTTCTGATTGTTTGGTCAGAGACATTCACACCAGTGGCCTGCTGGAGGTCATTTTGAAGGGCTCTGGCAGTGCTCATCCTGTTGTTCCTCCTTGCACAAAGAAGCAGATACTGGTCCTTCTGATGGCTTAAGGACCTTCTACAGCCCTGTCCAGCTCTCCTAGAGTAACTGCTTGTCTCCTGAAATCTCCTCCATGCTCTTGAGACTGTGCTGGGAGACACAGCAAACCTTCTGGCAATGGCACATATTGATGTGCCATCCTGGAGGAGTTGGACTGCCTGTGCAACCTCTGTAGGGTCCAGGTGTCGCCTCATGCTACCAGTAGTGACACTGACCCTAGCCAAATTCAAAACTAGTGAAAAACAGTCAGAAAAGATGAGTAGGGAAAAGAATGTCAGTGGCCTCCACCTGTAAAACCATTCCTGTTTTGGGGGTCATCTCATTGTTGCCCATCCAGTGCATCTCTTAATTTCATTAACACCAAAGCAGCTGAAACTGATGCCCATCCAGTTCATCTCTTAATTTCATTAACACCAAAGCAGCTGAAACTGATTAACAACCCCCTCTGCTACTTAACTGACCAGATCAATATCCCAGGAGTTTAATTGACTCGTTGCTATATTCTGATTAAATAGTGTTTCTTAAATTTTTTGAGCAGTGTATATACAGGGCTTTTTTTCAGAGGGAACTCAGGGGACAGCAGTGCTGGCACCTCCAGGACTGAATGTATGCAATGGGGTGTGCTGCAGAGTCTATTGATGCTGGCTGCTGGGGGATCTATTGTCGCTGGAGGAATCTATTTTTTTCGGGGGGGGGGGGGCTTTTCCTGCTGGGGAAGTCTATTGTTGATAGTAATGGATCCTATTTTGCTAGGGGTCACTTATTGCTGGGAGGGATCTACTGTTGAGGGAGGGGTCTATTGATGCTGTTTGTGGAGAAATCTGTTGCTGCTACCATAGGTCTATTGTTTCTGAGGGGGGTATTTTGTTGCACGTGGCTCATTGTTGCTTGGGGGGTATATTGTTGCTGGCTGCAGGGGAACTGTTTTACTGCTTTTCTTGTTATCATTAACAACTTATGTGCAAATTACTTAGCACCACAAAATATTTGGTTCTATATTCTTTAAAAGGGATGGTGCTGGGAGGTGAGTAGGGGGTGGAACCAAGGAACGTTGCTCAGAGGTGGGTAGGGGCAGAGACAAGGGATGACTTGGAAAGAGGGAGTTCCTGCACCTATTCTCTGAGAAAAAAGGCCCTATATATACACTGCTCAAAAAAATTAAAGGAACACTTTGAAAACACATCAGATCTCAATGGGGAAAAATATGATGCTGGATATCTATACTGATATGGACTGGGTAATGTGCTAGGAAAGTAAGAATGCCCCATCATTTGATGGAAATGAAAATCATCAATTTACAGGGGATAGAATTCAAAGCCCCCCCGAAAATCAAAGTGAAAAAATTATGCAGCAGGCTAGTCCATTTTGCTGAAATTTCATTGCAGCAACTCAAAATGGTACTCAGTACTTTGTATGCCCCCACGTGCTTGTATGTATGCCTGACAATACCAGGGCATGGTCCTAATGAGATGACGGATGGTGTCCTTGGGTATTTCCTCATAGACATTTACACCTGCTGGAGGTCATTTTGTAGGGCTCTGGAAGTGCTCATCCTGTTCCTCCTTGCACAAAGGATCAGATACCGGTTCTGCTGATGGGTTAAGGACCTTCTAAGGCCCTGTCCAGCTCTCCTAGAGTAACTGCCTGTCTCCTGGAATTTCCTCCATGTTCTTGAGACTGTGCTTGGAGACACAACATACCTTCTGGCAATGACGCATATTGATGTACCATCCTGGAGGAGTTGGACTGCCCGTACAACCTCTTTAGGGTTCAGGAATCGCCTCATGCTACCAGTAGTGACACTGACCCTAACCAAATTCAAAACTAGTGAAAAACAGTCAGAAAAGATGAGTAGGGAAAAAATTGTCAGTGGCCTCCATCTGTAAAACTATTCCTGATTTGGGAGTCATCTAATTGTTGGCCATCCAGTGCACCTGTTGTTAATTTCATTAACACCAAAGCAGCTGAAACTGATTATAAACCCCCTCTGCTACTTAACTGACCAGATAAATATCCCAGGAGTTTAATCGACTTGATGCTACATTCTGATTAAAAAGTGTTCTTTCCATTTTTTTGAGCAGTGTGTGTATATATATATATATATATACACACACACACTGTATATGTATATGTAATACAACTTGAAAGTCCTTAGATGAAGTGGCTGCTATAATATTTTTCACAACATTTATGGCAAGTACAGAACATATCTGATGACATGTTTGAAGCCCAGCCTGTATGACAGCCATGGTTGCTCCAATAAATATAGTATAGAGAAAGGCATAGACAGGAAGGGACAGGATGTATGTTATTTGCAAGATTACCAGGTGAAAATAAAATAAAAATTGCTTGAATATATACAACTCATGCAGCCTTGCATCTGAGGGCTGGTACTCATCGATATGCATTTTAGTTCTTGGTTTACTTTAAAGCTGATCATTTCACTGCATTACAGGTCAATTCAATAAAGCAATACAAAGAGAAATGAAGATGTGTAAATCACAGCAACCTGTAGCAAACAAGCAGATTTCACATTTCCCCATCCAGGTCAGGTTGCTATGGTGCTTCACTTTGGATACTGCTTTTTGCATTAGGAATACACCTGAAATGTTGGGAGTTGAAATGACTGAGTTTGGAAAATCCTGGATAGCTCCTCCCTAATAAATTATGGGCACTTCACACAAATAAGCACCTGAAAAGCTCCTTAGTTCACATTTTTTTTAATAACATGGCACAATTTACATAACACAAGTCTTCGCTGATGAGGAACATGCTGAAGATCGAGTTGCTTCATTTTTATGTTTTGATTTTTTTTTTCCTTTTCAGTTCTCTTTTTTCCTCTTTACATATGATCTAAAAAGGAAATTTCTTACATACAGGATAAACAGCAAAAGGTTTGTATATAACAATCTCTTTACAATACTGAAAGCTACCACTACTGTTCCAGTGTACATAATCTTTTGGGAGGGTTTGTTCTTTAAAAAAACACTGCACAACATCTGGAGTTCACAAAATCTGAAGCTCACAACTAAACCTTCAGATGACTACTAAAATAGATCTCTGCTTATTAGAAACAACTGTCAGGAGTTTTATTCCGTGTTCTGATTTTTTGCCAAAACAGGATAACAACTTAAGATATCACTTTAATACACTAGAAGACCAATGGACTATGTTTATTTCATACATATAATTTACAACCCAGTAAACCAAATGTGTATGGTATTTATTTCTGATAAAGTCATATCCTCTCCGACTGTTTAGATGTAAACAGGTGTTATTATCAGATCATGAACTAACTGGCGAAAACAAACACCCTGGGGTGATGTTAAATTTTGTACTTGTCATTTGGATCAACAATTTAACCAAATTGATAGAATGTGTATCATATTAAAACATCAGTTGCCAAACATATATACCCTCAATAACAAAAGTTATTTTACTTCCCTTGAGTTGGATGTACTGGCAAAATCGGGGTGTATTTAATAATGTAGTGCAAAGAGCAATTGTTTAAGTGAACCACTAGTCAGTTCATTCTAGCTGCTCAAATGGCTAACATTGAAATCTCGAAAATCAGTCTTCTGATTAGTTCTTTGACCATAGCAAGTTTTGTTTTGTTCTTCAAGTTACAGACATTGTAATAGACAGTGTGCTGAAAATGATTGCTATTGTAGAAAAAAGCATATTTGAATCATGTAAGTATGTTTGTATATTGTTCAGTTGTGCATAGATGAAAGGAGCCCTGCACTTTTATGTTTGGAAGTATTATGTTAGCTACCACAAAAAAAAACATTTATTGGAGTTTATACCCATGTATGTATTTTCAGCTCCAAAATGCATAATGCAATGTTCCATCAAACATGGCAATTGATGTTGATAATTGGTGTCTTTGGTGGGACTTAATTGCCAAGGCAGCTTTCCACTACCTTGTTAAAACCACTGAGAAACCCACTTCACATTGATGGATCCATTGGTGGAACTGGAATTGAAGATGCAGCTTTGAGGACCCAATATTTCTACTTATGCTTAAGAAATGTTTGCTATGATTGAGATAACCTACCAGTTCTTTTTACTACATTATTAAATATGTATCAATCAATTTAAAAAAGATCCACATAATTACATTAAAATGACTGCATAATAAATACAGGGCATATCTGTAACATCCTTGTTTAGAATGTTGAAAAAATCTTAAATACAGATTGATGCCTAGAAAAACGTAACAGGTATTTCAACACAAATTTCTTAGGGACAATATGACTTTAATTGTGTGAGTGTGGGAAAAAGATCCATTTGTGTTACAATGGCTTTATGTTGAAAGCCTCGATAATAATTGCATAGTTGAGGGGGTTTAGTTGTCTCTAATAACATACACAGTAAGAGCAGACTGTGTTATAAATAGCAAGGTTGTAAACTGCACAGTTTAAGAAGTATTATTGTATTATGTCTATTTACATTTGTACACAGTAAAGCTTTCATCCTATCCTTTTGCATATATGAACCAATAACCAATGAAGCAAATCATTGTAAATACATATTTACATTTTCTTTCAATATCACAAGTCTGATACAGTCCAAATAGGTCTAATGAATTATTTCCTTCAGTTCCAATCAAATGCTTTACATTAGTAAAATAAATCGAAGACAAACATTTGAATTGGCTAAAAGATCTGGAAATCTGCAACGAATAATATACAAAAAGTGAAAATCATTGCTCTTAGAGGCTTTACATTTGTACAAAGATTGTATGCCAAGTCTTGCTCTGATTTAAATCAGGTTATTTGTCCTCAAGCTCCATTTATTATATTCACCGTGCTTCGATATCTTTCAGCGTGTGAGAAGGAGGTCTGTCTCTTATCTCTGCAGTCAATGGAGTAGTCCTCCTGGGAGATCCTGGTCGGCCTCCCAAAGTAGAAATTAGTGGAGGGGGGGCACTTAGTGCTGCTGTTGGTGGAGTCTTATTAAGAAGTCCGTTTTGATGTCCAGCTGTGGGACTGACCCTGGGATAGTGCATGCTTGGAAGTCCTGGAGTAATTAAACTTGGGTGAGGCAGGTGACCATCCAAAGCAGCTGGATGAACCGCATGTAAACGGGCATGTTCATAGTCCTCTCGAAGCATGTGTAACCGTTCCCTCTCTTCCAACTGGCTTGCTCTTTCTATGTGTTCCCTTCGTGGGTCAACAGAAAGATGATGATGGTGATGATGGTTGTAATCATGAGGTTCCCTGTCTCTAAATGATCTGTCTGCTTCATATATTCTTGGAGCGCCAAGTCGATGAAGTGGATCATTTCGCAGCAAAAAATCTCTTCCAAGGGGATCACGCCTATGAATATCTAGTCCTCTGTAAGGGTCTCTTAATGGATCTCTCATAGGATCCCAATGAAATGATGGATATGGGAAACGTTCACCACCTGGGATTGGGCTTATACCCATGAAAGGAGTCATCATGCGAGTTCTGTCTAAGCCACCAATGCTGTTCATTGGATGCATCCCTGTTACACCCACAGCCATTGGCATGGATCCTAAATGGCCCGGATGAATATTTGATGTAGACATTGGAGGAGGTTGTTCAGAGGACCTATGCACAGTTGGTGCCTCAGAGACTAAAACGTCATGATCTTCCTTTCTTTCCTCTTTTACTTTGACATCATTACTTTTCTTTTGACTGTCATATGTCTCAGTTTTTTCTCTCATCTCTATTTGAAGTGCTATTAGGTCTAGTGCTTTCCATCACTGGTGGTCTAACATAAGGGGAGGGTACCCTTGAGACCTGCTTGGCTTCCTCTGCAGCTCTATTGTCATGTACAATGCTTTCCTTTTCAGAAATATGGTTTTCTTTTGCTTTGTGCTCTTCCACATTAGCTTCTTTCCATGAATCAGAGTGATCCCTTTCACGGTCCTTGGTCTTTTCTTTGTCTCGCATCTCATTATTTAGATGGGTTCTGCTTTGTTCTGATAAACTGCGATTATGTCCCAATGAATTAACTTGAGCAACAGGTGCTGGTGAAGGATGACTGGAGTGCCTTTTCTCATTGGTTTCCCTAAAGAAAGAGAATAAGCTTAATGTAATAATTGTAAGAAATATAAAACTTTTAACATACATACACATCATACTACACTAAGCTGAGAGCTGCAACTCTGTCATCATAATTGGGAGCAAAATATATACAATAAAATGCCTCTTGCAAGGGATACTGGAATAGGACACACACATTTCACATCACAGTTTAAAGCCAAAGTCTGAGAACAAACATTTTTATTTTTACTTTAGATTGGTCCAGTTTAGTTATCGTTAATGCTGTGTATATATAGTACTACATCTAGAAGACTGTTGGAGCTGCAAAAAATCTCAGTCTTCATTATAGATTCTGTCGGCTTTGATCTTTTAGGCTCTGCTGCAGTGAATTGCCATCTCATATAATGCAGGAGCGCGGTCGCACACTTTCCACCCTCAACCATTGATAAAACATCTTTTATTCTATTCACAGGATACAAGGCATCCAGTGATTGGACAGGGGTCTGTACTTTTGTTCACCTGTCGCTCCTCTCCCATTGTCCAATTACAGAATGACTTGTTTTATCAATTATTTTTTCAATCAGTTTTTTTTTACGTGTGGACCAGTTTCCCCGTGTTACTGAAACAGGACAAATAAAACTGTGAGCACCGTCACATTGAATCTAGCCTGGAAAGTAAGGGGCTTGGCTGTAAACTGCAGCAGCTTATTCCCAAAATTCCACTTGTGTGTCACTGCAGGAGCAATGATTTTATTCTAATTAAAGGATAAGTTCATCTTTTGGACAAAAATAATAAATGAACATTTTTTTTGCAGGTAAAAATATGTGCATTTATTATTTTTGTCCAGAGGAGCCTGTAAAGCCATGCACCAGTGATCAGTAGATCACTGATGCTATGCAGGTCTCCTGCAGTCCTGTCAGAATATCTTCGGCCATATGAGAAGTACAGCCAAGCAAAATTTTCTGCCAGAAATCTCCACAGCGCCATGGTAGTTCATTGAAAACTACAAGCCGACAGCCGCTAAGGCTGCCGGGAGTTGTAAGAACTCTGTGAATGAGTGATGCGCCACGTGTGTGGAGCCCAGCACGGCCGCGCTGTTTTCAAATCTGACAGATAGTATGGGGAAACTTCTCCCCATACTATCTGTCAGAGGAAGGGGGGCGGCGGGTGCTGCTGTGGCTATGGGAACATGTTACATCTTCCACTCTAAAAATGGGTGGAACATGTTCCAAAGGTGAACTTATCTTTTAATAATGCCTAATAAAAGAGATGATCCCTACCTTCAAGCTCCTTCGCTGTATGCCCCTTAAACATGGAAATATTTATGCTGCATAGACAAGCAAACTATTGTGGAGGAGCTAAGAAAAGGAAAGTCGGTTTGTTCTGCTTGCAATCTGGGTACAAAGCTCTATTTTCATATAATAGCAGGAGCTATATTTCTCTATATGTATCTGAATGTGGTAAAAGGACAACAAGGGCACAATGTTAAAGGAAATCAGAGTATTGTCATCACTTCAGATAAACTGGTGTCATTTTTGCACAGGTTTAGTTTAAGGAAGAGTCACCCTTCTCTGTATCTCTCCATGGCACTTGATCCCTAAATTTCCTAAGCTGTTGCTCACTCCTTAACTTTTTTTCTACTGTCGCATTGTTTTATAAAAATGTGACTGTGGGAATAAGCTCAAGTGAATGGCATCAATGGATGGCAGAATCCATTACAGCACAGATGTTAATTACTGGTAATATGTGATCAAAGCTGTATGAGATTCTTCTGGTCACCACTGCTATTCACTCCGAGGGTGCACTGATTGTCAATGGCTGACTTGCTAGACTGAGACTTTGCTTTTTAATATGAAGATTAGCGCTAAGGCAGAAAGCAAGAGGATCAATGTGGGAGAAATTTATCACCGTGTAGGTTTTGAGGGCTGACAGTGACTGTTACTTTATATTATCTGCATATCTAGAATTTGATCAAATGTTCTTTATAGAACCATGTAGCATAATATATTTGATTTCTACATCTAAATTCTTTAGCTTTCTGTAAATCACACACATACTGTCTCCAATTAGTATCTCAGCAATGCAATTTTACTACTTGTGAGCCTTGAAGTTTAAAGCATTCTTTAATTGCTTTATTAACATTACTAGCTCACGCACCTTTCTTTATCCTCTTTGGACGATGATTCTCTTTTGTCTGAATCTCGATCATGAGCTGTAACTGAAGAACTGCGTTCAGGCTCCCCAGGTTTAAGCCAGGGTGGAGGTGTTGGGAAAGAAGGTGGTGTTCGATGAAGTCGATTCCATGGTTCATGAGGATTATTGAAACTCTGAATATTTGGCCCTTCTTTGTGGCTAAACATTGAGTTGGATGCTATAAAAGAAAAAAAAATATTTAGAGCAACCCTGTTAAATAAGACAAAATATAAGCAACAAACATATTAAGTTTGAAGAACAGATAGTTGACATACCACACCATTTGTAATACAGTTTTTATCTCAGAGTGCTTAATAGGTCATAAAAAAGACTTTTAGTTTTGGCTGCATGCCAGCAGGTTGATTCTCCCACTGGCAAGTAATAACTTTTTCTTATTTACAGTGAAATCTCTGCACCTAAATTAACAGGTCCACAAACTTCCTGATCCAATAATAAAGGGGGAGATCATGGACCAGATAAATCTGGAGTCATATTTTGTCCTTTGAAAGCAGCCCTGTGTCATCACATTTGTACGTGGGTTCTGACAACTTAAGAGGACATTTGGTAGGTAGCCGATAATGTTAGACAGCTCTCTGCATGTTAACTCAAGGGCAGTGGTGGTCGAAACGTTTGTAGTACACTTTTAATATACTGTAAATGCATAAGGACACATTTCAAGATTTGTAATTTAAAATGAACTCTGCTTAAAATGCAGTGTAAGCTCTAAGTATATCTCAGTTGAAGCTGTATAGGGTTAGTTCCCCTATACAGTAAAAATGTAAAAGTGAACTAACACTGGACACCCCCATCCCCCTTGTCCCCGCTGTACTTACCTCTTCACTGTCAGCACTTCTGGGATGGAACAGATGGATTCTAATTGGTCAGCGCCATCAATGTGATCAGAATCCATCTGGTCCTTTCCGGAAGTGCTGATGGAGAAAAGGGAAATGAACTGGAGCTGCTGGTGTGCTGACACCTTGGCAACCATGGAGGTAAGTACAGCAGGAATCGAGGGGCTGGAAGGGTGTCCAGTGTTAGTTCACTTTTAAATTTTTGCTGTAAAGCGGAACTAATATTTTAAACAAGGTGGGACTTTCCTCCCACCTCATGTGTCCCTTCTGAGCCAATCAACAAGCACAGGTGCAGTAACATCAGAAGACTTTTTCTTTCCCTCTTTCCTGCCAGCGGTAAACAGATCTGAGTCAAGTGAAGGGAGGGTAAGTATTTGCAAAAGAACAGCTGAGCATTAAAGTGTTGCTTTGCATTAATATATATTCCTATTCCTTTGCTAGGTAATGTTTTAAATAGGACTATATAATTTACAAAGATAATGAGCAAAATTAAAGGATAAGTTCACTTTTGTAAAAAAAACAATACATTCACATCTTTTTACAGGTAAAAAAACTGCAGTTATTATTTTTTTACTTGGTGCCTAAAAAGCAGATCTTGGGTGCCATGCAGGACTCAAGCAGACTGTCCAGTGTATCTGTGTGCTCGTATCTTGTAAGGCAAAAAGGGAAGGCAGATACACACTGACAAAAGGCAATGAACTACCACAGTGCTCAACAGCGCTGTAGTAGTCAATTGAGAACTACAAGCTGACAGCTACAAAGGATGTTGGTACTTGTAGTTTTCCATTCACAAAATATTGCGAATAAATGAAGCAGCCGGGCCCCTTTTTTTTAAATTAGTGACAGGTAGCGCGGGGGGGGGGGAATCACTAAATACAGTTGCTCCAGTAGTGGGAACATGTTACATGTTCCATCCTGAAAAGGGGGAACATGTAATGTGTTCCCAGACGTGAACCTATTGTTTATGCGGTATTATAACATACAGCCAAGAGTGCTATAGCTGATAATGAAGAAGCCACAACTGTATAATGGTATTATAGTATATCCAATTCCAATGCTATTTTTCATTTTTAATGAGGTAGGGAATGGTTAACCTGCTGTCAGGTTTTCTTGCCATCTCTGCTTCATTAAAGTGGAACTAAGCCTATCGATTTAACTGTTTCCCAAAACAGTTAAATTCAACGTGAACAAAGACAGCAATAAAAAATCTGACAGTGATTCAAATCGCTGCTTTATTGAAATCCGTAAAAAAAAGACTTCTTGTGTTCTGGGTATTCATTCCTGGCAACATACTGCCCTAAACCAATTCTATACCTATCTGTGCACCTTCCATCCCTGTCCAGCCGCACCAACTGTCAGTCTAACATAGAGCTTGACAGGCTAGCTGCAGCAGGGCCGGGTGACAAATCTGTGCTCTCCACTCACAGCTAAATGCCAGAGCCCCAAGCACTAAGGCTAAATGCCCAGTTTGCATGGGGCCTTAAAAATTATCCTCAGCTTTCACAAAATAAGCAATGATCTAGAAAAGCATTTACCCATAGGCCATGCTACTGTTACTGAAAGTTGAAGAGTTATATACTGTACATGTTACAGATATTTTCCACCTATTGCTGAAATTGCATCATTCCTAATTTGTATTACTTTAGTTTTAATTTAGGAATGTTTACTCACTGACTGAAGGATTGCCAAGCCCCCCAAAGGCATTTCCTCCCACAGAAGCAAGACCACCAAATGTTGATGGACGATTAAATGGTTCTATGAAAACAAAATATATATCAATGATATTATTGATATACAGTATTAATGATATATTGCTTGTATTATTTTATTATGGCTATAATTGTAGTAAACATACACACATGGTTCACTATGTTCTGCTTCACTTTTATTTATTCTAGCTTTTGTTCAATTGCAATACAAATTTGTATTGGATACATACATGTCTACTGCATACAATACTCTCAACTACTCCCTGCTATCCTCTCATCCAAAAGAATTAAGCTGCATTTATATATAAATACATTGATATGACCAATATATATATAACCATGTGCCCAGTCCTTGGTCAATGCATAAGTGACAAATAGAATGTTAAATTGTACCCTCTAATATAATCATACACATCAAGAGCGAAAAAAAAAAGCCTATACAAGCAAAACATTCTTGAAAGTACAGAAGATTTACTAAAATTGGTGCACACAGAATTTGGTGCAGCCGTGCATAGTAACCAATCAGATTTTAGGTTTTATTGTCAAAGCCTAACTGAACAAGCTAGAAGCTGGTTACTATGCACAGCTGCACCAGATTCAGTGTGCATCAGTTCTAGTAAATCTCCCCACAAAGGAGCAGCTCTGCATGGTAGCCAATCAGCTTCTAACTTCAGCTTGGTCAATAAAGCTTTGACAATAAAACCTGGAAACTTATTGGTCTCTCTACAGAGCTGCCCCAGATTTTGCACTCTCCAGATTTAGTAAATAACCCCCATAGTGTCTAAACAGTTACCAATGTAATCAACTTCTATTGTACAGTATATCTTATAGTAGGTTTCATACACCAAGTACTCCAAATCAGTCATGGTTCATACAATTTATAAATATAACTACCACGGCACCACCGGCCTGGAGCTTGCATGTTCTCCCTGAGCCTGCGTGGGTTTCCTCCGGGTACTCCGACTTCCTCCCACACTCCAAAGACATGCTGGTAGGTGAATTGGCTCCTGTCTACATTGGCCCTAGCATGTGAATGTATGAATGTGAGTTAGGGACCTTAGATTGTACACCCCTTGAGGGTTAGGGACTGATGTGAATGTACAATATATATATAAAGCGCTGCAGAAATTGACAGCACTATATAAGTACCTGAAATAAATAAATAAATGCCAATTCCCTTCAATCCACCTCTGCGCTACAGCTATGTGTCAGCCCTCTCGCATGTACACTCACCAGCAAAAACTACCTCTTTTTTCTAAGACAGATCAAAAAGCATCTGGGAGTATTAATTTAGTAGTTTCCCTTTAAGAACACTCTGTTTAAACACTCTTCATTGCTCCATGCACACAGTTAAACATAAGAAGGCACAGAAAAACTTCCAGTGCAACTAAAGGCAAAATTTTTATTTTTATTTTGGATAGACTAGCCATACATTATACAATTTTCTAGTACAGTTTTCCTTTAGATTTACCAAAACCATATAATGTGAGGTCAAACCTAAACACTTTCAATTTGCATGCAATCAGGCAAGCCCTTGCACTACACAGTTGAAGGTAAATCTAAAAGAAATTGAACAAGAAAATTGTATAATGTGTGGCCAGCTTCAGAGAGGGGTTATAACCCTTGTCAGGTTTTTTTTGCCATCTGTGTCCCAATGGGAGATTTACCTTTACTTCCTGTCCCATAGCCAAAACAGAAAGTGAGAGGAAATCTCTCCACAGTGAGTGAATCCAAGAGGGTCACCAGGGTCAACAGAATTAGCAACTTCATTAGAGGATTTCCCCTCTTTTACTGTTCTGATGTCAACCCAAAATGTGGGATTTTCTTTTACTTTCGACGATAACATAAACAGAACAAATAAAGAGGGTGAATTTCCCTAACGGGGGCACTGACAGCAATAACAACTGATAGGTGTTCTAATCCCTCTCCACTCTATCCAGATCTAAAGAAAAAATGCCTTTATTTACACTGTAATAGTTTAAAGTCCTTAAAGTGGAGTTCTAGTGAAAATAAAAGTCAGCAGCTACAAAAACTGTTGCTGCGGACTTGTAAAAAACTGACCCTACAGTGTCCCCCCAGCAGCCTGGGCGCCTTTTGTTCCTGACATCTTCAGTGTGGGCACCCGGCTGTTACAGCTCACGGCTCCACAGCCGGATGCTCACTGCGCGATTGCTGCACTTTGTGAATGGTCCCATAGTCTTCTGGGACCTGTCACTTGTCCCAAAAGACTACGGGGGTGGGGGGGTGGAGGACAACTTCCGCGCTCCTATTGCCTAGGCCAGGGGTAGGCAACCTGCGGCTCTCCAGCTGTTGCAAGACTACAAATTCCATCATGTCTCTGCAAGTCATAGCTGTAACTGTCAGTTTTGTAGTTCCACAACAGCTAGAGAGCCGCAGGTTGTCTACCCCTGGCGTAGGCGATCGCAGTGGAACTGGGAGTGGGTACCTGTCAGTTCCGGGTATCCGCTCCCCAAAGGTGCCAATCCTTAACGGGGAGCATGGGATCAGTCCTTTAAGTGGAACTTTCCTTTTTGGGTGGAGCTCCACTATAAACCCTTTTATTAAAAATAAAACAGCAACAAAAGTCATTGGGTGATGCTAAGACAGACCAATTTAAACAGCATGTGTGTAGCTTGTATAGTTCACACTTTTGAGAGCTGGTGAGGGTACCTGCGAGAAGTCTGGCACAGAGTTGGATTGAAAGAAATTGGCATGCATTTATTTATGTATAAATGACCACTGATTTGGAATATTTGGTGTATTCGAACTGGAAACTGTTTGGACGCTATTTGTACATTGAAAGAATTTTAAGGACTCTGTGTTTTGTTAGTTTATTTGCTATATTTTTATGCATGATGCATTTCTATTACAGGATGCAATTTAATATTATCTATTTGCCACTTATTATATGAGCAAGAGCTGAGCAAATGATGATATATGAGCTTACTGAATACACTGTGACGAATCTATAATCTTATAGAATGCTATGCCCAACAAAAACAATTATTAAAAACCAACCCACTTGCAATAATGGACACTCTTACAAATGTAATACCTCAGAACAGATATTTTAAACACAGCTGGCCTTCACTCATATTATTTTCAATCACATTTTTTTCCAACCAATCACTTTTTTTTCCAACACCTTTTGGGTAGGCAACATTATTAAAAACAACAAACAGTGCTGAGTATGGTTCCATGCACACTAGCATTTTTTAAGCTCAAAAAATTCCGGAGAAAACACTGTATGAAAAACGCTGGTAATAGCATTTATAGTAGAGCTTTAGTAGGAGCATTAGCATTTTATTAGAGTGTTTAAAGTACACATAGGAAAAAAAAGCTAGAAAAAAGCTGTTAAGAGAGTTTAGTAGTGTTTAGGAGCATTTAGCATTTTTTTTCTGCTGGAAAATGCTCCCAAAAACTTTACAAAAAATTATTTTTCTGCTCCTAAATGCTGAGAAATGCTACTAGCTTAAAATAGTGTGCATGGACACCACGGATAACACTATGTAGCTTCTAGGAGCAGAAAAAAAGTGCTGATAACAACTTCTAGGAGCTTAATAAAAATAATACTGTGCATGGAGCCTAAAGGATGTTTGTTAAATAAATTAATAATTAATGCAAAATATGTTGTTTCATTTACCGAGATGAGCAGAGGGGTTAAGAAAATTACTGTGATGAGGTGGAGGACCAAAATGTGCACCAGCTGGGTGTGCTCCACCTAAAAGCAAAATAAATAATATAAATAAGGGAAAAGATTCATACAGGTTTCCATATCATGATTTTTTAAATATAGCACAATTACAAAAAATAGTTATTAATTTAAACCATCACCAGAACAGTATTTACTTCTTCCTACTTAATATAGTATATAAAATATAAATATTTAGCTTTCTTAAAAATTGTGTATGGTTATCTACACAATAGTCACCTTCACCCAACTAGCTATGTGAATATATTTAATTAAGTTGCCCATTTTTAACTGTGTCAGAATAAATAAATAAAATGTAAAAAGCAATATTGTGGCGCCTAAAAAACAAACTAAATAAGTGAATATTATCAAAATAAATAAGTACAACAGAAAAAGGTTCATATACTTTGTGACTAAAAGTATCCAATACAAAGACATCTAATGCAAACGGTTTTCACAACCGTGAGTCTTTGCGACAAATAACTTTGGGATAGCAAAAATTAAATAAAAAGGTATTTAGAACTGCCTTCATCATGTTCCATTATTCTTCAATATATCAGCAGTATAGCCATGGCTATGATGCTCATACAATATGACCTACACACTGAATGTACAGCTTAGCTGGAAGAACAGTGTAGAATGTTTGAACTGTTTATAAAATGAATGCCAGCACAGGGAAGCTTAGAAATGTCTTTTGCAAACTGCTACCGGTACTTTTTGGTTTGGTCTTCCTGGTGAGAAGCCTTGCTAGTCATCTACAACTCCAATTCCCAAAAAGTTGTGACACTGTTTAAAGTCTACATTAAAACAATGATTTGCAAATCTCATAAACTCATGTTTTATTTAAAGTAGAAAATGGAAAACATGTCAAAATGTTTAAATTGAGAAATTGCACCATTTTAAGAAAAAAATAAGGTACTTATAAAAATTGATGGCAAAAATTTAGGATAGAGAAAGAAAAAGCTGGCAAAGTAAGTGGTACTAATGTGGAGGAGCAAGAAAAACATTTTGCAACTAATTAGGTTAATTGGCAACAGGTAACTAACATGATTTGGTATAAAAAGGGCATTTTAGAGAGTCAGAATGTCAAGGAAGTAGAGATGGGCAGCAGTTCACCAATCTGTGAAAAACAGCATCTAAAATTTGCCAAAAGATTTCAAAATAATGTTCCTCATCGTAAAATTGAAAAGATTTTAAATATATCATGATCTGTAGTACATAATGATTTAGAGCATCTGGAGAAATCTCTGTGCAAAAGGGACAAGGCCGACTGCAGTAAAAAAAGGAATGATTCTGTGATCCACATCTCTGAATGCACTCTTGAGTACTTCCAAAAATTACTGTCTGTGAACACAGTTTGTTGAGCCACCTAAAAATGCAAGGTAAAACTCTATCAAGCAATGAAGAACCCATATCCTAATATGATCCATAAAAGCTGCCATCTTCTCTAACCAAAGCTCTGTTAAAATGGTCTGTTGCAAAGTGGAAAACTGTTCTGTGGTCAGACAAATTGAAATTTGACATTCTTTTTAGCAACCATATATGCTGCGTCCTCCGGATTATAGAGGAGAGAGACCCTTTCGGTTTGTTATCAGTGCTCAGTTCAAAAGCCTAAATCTCTGATGGTATGGGTGTGCATTAGCGCATATAGAATAGGCAGCTTGCACATCTGGAAAGGCACTATCAATGCTGAAAGACATATCCAGGTTTTAGAGCAGCATATGTTTTCATGCAGACAACATCTTTTAGGGAAGGCCTTGCATTTCAGCAGGACAATGCTAAACTGCATCTATCAAAAGAACATGACTTTGTAGAAGGGACTGGGTGCTTAAATGGCCTGCATACAGTCCAGACCTTTTACCAATTGAAAATATTTAGCACATCTTGGAATGAAAAATACGACGAAGAAGACCCGAGGCTGTTAAGCAGTTAAAATCCTATATCAGGCAATCAGGGGACAATATTGCTCTCCCAAACTCCAGCAATTGGTCTACTTAGTTCCCAGACATTCCCAGGGTGTTGTTAGGAGAGTGATGCTACACTGTGGTAAACATGGCCCTGTCCCAACCTTTTTGAGATATGTTCTTTTTTTTAGATATTACATTTTCTTAGATTACACATTTGTTTTCTATTATGAATAAAATATGGGTTTATGAAAACTGCAAATCATTGTATTCTGTTTTTATGTAGATTTTACTCAACGCCCCAACTTTTTTGGAATTGCAGTTGTATTTCAGCAGTACTAGCAATCAAATCTGAGTGCTTGGAGAACTTTCTTTGTGGAAACATAGCCTGCCTTCGTAAAGCAAATACATTTCATAGCAGACTAAGAGCAACAGGTGCAGTAAGCCTCCATTGAACAGCAATTCACCTTGAAAATTAATTAAATAGCAAATCGAGCTGAAGTGAAGAAAGGAAAGTGTATATATATATATATATATATGGGCAGCATAGTGGCTAAATGGTTACTACTTATGCCTGGCAGTACTAGGAGTCGTTGGTTTGAATCCCAACCACAGCACCACCTGCCTGGAATTTGCATGGTCTCCCTGTGTCTGCATGGGTTTCCTCTGGGTACTTCTGTTTCCTCCCACACTCCAAAGACATGATGGTAGGTTAATTGGATCCTGTCTAAATTGGCCCCACTATGTGTATGTATGAATGTGAGTTAGGGCCCTTAGATTGTATGCCCCTAAGGCAGGGGTCTGCAACCTTTAAGACATAAAGAGCCACTTGGACCCGTTTCCGAGAGGGAAAAAAAGACTGGGGGAGCCGCAAAACCATTGCAACGCTTTTTAAAACAAATCCGACACTGCATATTTTGCAAAAAGCGCTCTGGTCATGAAGGGGGTTTAAGGGCCCAGTAAGCAAAGGGTTAATCAGGGCCACAGTGTATCGTCATAATCACAATCATAGCCTTAGGTCAGTGGTGGGCAACCTTTTTTTTCAACTGAGCCAAATCTCGCCAAAACCACGATTGAAATTTATTTTGAGAGCCACATTTTTAAAACTGAAAATACATCCCCCATATAGTAATTCATCCCCCATAGTAATTCATCCCCCATATAGTAATAATCATCCCCCATATAGTAATTCATTAAGTAATTTCATCCCCCATAGTAGTAATTCATCCCCCATAGTAATTCATCCCCCCATATAGTAATTCATTCCCCATATAGTAATTCATTCCCCATAGTAATTCATCCCCCATATAGTAATTCATCCCCCATAGTAATTCATCCCCCATATATAGTAATTCATCCTCCATATAGTAATTCATCCCCCATATAGTAATTCATCCCCCATAGTAATTCATCCCCCATAGTAATTAATCCCCCATATAGTAATTAATCCCCCATATAGTAATTAATCGCCCATAGTAATTCATCCCCCATATATTAATTCATCCCCATAGTAATTCATCCCCCATATAGTAATTCATCCCCCCTATAGTAATTCATCCCCCATAGTTAATTCATCCCCCATATTAAGTCCCCAAGTACCCCCCTGTGTCAATTCACTTACCTTTGCTCCGCGCGTTCCTCTCGCCGTGTTCCCGCGCCGTTCCGGTGTAGCATGAAAATCTGTCTCCTATGAGGATCTGTCCCCCTCGGCGTATCTGCGCATGTGCCAGTTTTAGGCATTAGCAGCCGATCTCCGGCACATGCGCAGATACGTCGAGGGGGACAGATCCTCATAGGAGACAGATTTTCATGCTACACCGGGCTTCAGGGCGGACTGTGAGAGGAGCCTAGCGGGAGGCCGGATTAAAAGGTCCGCCGGGCTGTAGTTTGCCCATTGCTGCCCTATTGCCTGTCACCTGGTGGGCAGTGTGCTCCGGAGCCGCAGCCAAGGTGAAAAAGAGCCGCATGCGGCTTTGGAGCCGCGGGTTGCCGACACCTGCCCTAAGGGTTAGGGACTGATGTGGATGTACAATATATATGCAAAGCACTGTGTAAATTGATGACAGTATATAAGTACCTGTAATAAATTTTTATATATATATATATATATATATATATATATATATATATACACACACACACAATTAAAATTTATGTTCAGGGTTAAAATTATATTACAAAGTACAGAAATATATTTTAGAATTACTTTTCTCAAGCACATTTTAACCATATAGGTTTTAATAACCAAAAGTATATTTAACCTAGAAATGCAAACTAAATGCCCTCTATTCAGAGATAGTAAAAGAGTTTAGGTTAGCTCTCTATGGCCCTACTTTTTTAATAAACTGTAAGCTCAATAACTGTATTTGAAATTAGATTTACACTCACCAGCAGCGGAGAAGAGTGTGGAAGGGCGTGCCAAGTCATGATGGTGCGGATGGTGATGAATAGCTCCAAAGAGGCTCGGACCTGGTGGCCTGCTCAAAAACTCAGGCTTTAGGCCAAAATCCAGCTTGTGTGGATCTGTCTGCATCTGTTTCTAAAATGGAAAGCATGTCTGGAATTGAGATTTCCCCCGTGGGCAGATAAAAAATGGAGACTTCAAAGACCATACAAAATGGCACATTCACACCTTGAAATTGCAAAAACGATCTTTGTGTGTGCTATAATTGAAAATAACACTTTTTTTAAATCTGATATTATCAGAAGTGACAGACGGAGTAAGACAGAATAAATTGCTGAGACATGACTTGAAGGCAAAATAGTAAACATACATCCACACAAAAGTTTACCCTGTGCAGAACCAGTAATAAAAAAAAATAATATCCAATGATGAAATGACAGCATTTACTTGTGTAACACACTGTATCTCGATAGAGGATATCAAGCAAATATATTAATTTTAAACAAGGAATTTTCAATCATGTACATTTAGCATACCATAGGAGCACTAAGACTTCAGAACACGAGAGAACAGGAGCAGGCTCCTGCATTGCTGCTACTAACTGATTTCTCTACAATGGGAGGTAGAAGTCTATCACTTGCCACTACTGTGGCATGGGAGGACAGTGTACCATGCATGTAGATAAAGGCAGAAAATAGACTGCAGGAAGGTGAGTGGGCTTTATTAGGCTTGCCTTAAAAATCATTAAGAAGATATTAATTTTTGTGGGTTCTACTTTCCAGTTTTATTATTTTCTATTAGGTTGTGTTAGCACACATTGTAGAGCCACATGATGTGTTAAACACACCCTTTAAGACCTTGGGAGTCACATATTTCTATGAGTTTTTAATTTGCACATATGTCCTGCTTCACAAATGTGCAGGCACAAGAGCGCAGGCACAAGAACACACCCATTTGAATGGACTCGCGTGCCTCAGGACGCGGAGGGAAGAAGTCCCTGCGCTACTTGGGAAATCGCAGCCCGCACGGGAACTGAGGTTCCCAGTATGGTTGTGTTTTCCAGTGTGGGTGGCGTGCCATTACAATTAATGGCACCTGCCTGTGGGTCCCGCATTTCTCTGTGTGGGTGGTGCCGCTGTAGGTATTTGTGTGGGTCCCGCAGCGGCACCATCCACACAGATGTGAAAGTGTAAGACAGTCTCAGTGTCATTATGCTGAAATAGTCAACTTGCACCCAAGACTTTTGTTAGCCAAATCTTCCTAACAGCGCAAGACTTACAAATATTGTTTGTTTTAAAATGATTTTGTGATTCTGTATATGTCATGCTTTGCTACATATAAATGATATATGTACATTTGTAAGGAAAACGTCACATAATTCATAGAAAGAGATAGATGGATAATAGATAGATAGATGGATAGATAGATAGATAGATAGATAGATAGATAGATAGATAGATAGATAGATAGATAGATAGATAGATAGATGTTTATTGCACAGATTTAAGATAGCTGGCTTCACGCTTTTGCTTTAGGGAAAACACAAAAGCGATCATTGGTGTCTATTTATGAACTCCTGTGTGAATTAGCTGTTATTTTAATAGTTTTTCTCATTTGGTTACTGCTGTCTCTGAGGGAAAATTCTCCTTGCTTAAATTAAAACAGAAATGTACTTTCTAGCTCTAGATAATTAAACATAAATAAATAGTATTCTGGGGCAAAGAGGCCAAGCAGCAATCCATGGAATCCCAAATTTATGTGTTTAAAGAAAATGATCCATGTTCATTAAATCAGCTCGTAATAGTTGTGCATTTCTAAGTGCTTACATTTGGAGGAAGTATGTATTTCTGCACATAATCAGTTTCAATGTTTCATACTGAAGTGTGCAGGAATTAATATTTGATAAGTACTGTCTACATTAGTTTAAGGTTGAAAGCAAGTTCCAGCGAGGGCTTCATACAATGTTTATGTGACTCTGTCAAGATAGAAATACATACACTACCACTGCTGACTTGGTTTTAAAGATGATGGCTCTGATGTTATTCTCATTGTGGATTTACTATAGTTTCACTGTCTGGCACAAAGCATGCTGCCAGTGAAGTCTAAACTCTCATCCTGCATGCTACTTCCATTTCGGTGACTCACTATGTAGATAGACAAGACAGGGATGGCAGCTGTGGAGGTTGTGCCTTTAAAATCCAAATCTGTACTGGTAGCCCTAATATTTAAAGTGTTACTAAACCCACAACAGTAAAATTAGTCTGTATATGCAGTAAATCATGCTTGTTGTATTTACTGTGGAACCGAAAGGGTTAATCCTCTGCACTGTGTAAAAAAGGCAGTTTCATCCTGCCTTCTCTGATCATCCCTTTCTTCCACAGTCCCCAATCCATCTGCTGATAGTACAGAGCCCTAGGGGGTACTCTGCACATGCTCAGTTTGGTGTGTATAGGTAGATAAGTTCTTTTTTTGGGGGGGAGGGTCCATGTGATCAGCACAGGGCCGATCAGCACTGTCCAGAGAGAGGGTCAGGGGTCATGCAGCCTATTAGGACAGTCAGAGGAGAATGCAAACTCCTCCTACAAGCTTTAACCAGTGATCAGCTGGACACTGATAGAAGTCACAAGACTGTTATATAGTGTTGATGAAAAGACATTTTGCAGTTTATATTTACTTTTATTTTATAAAATAATTGCATTTCCATGTTCTGTGAACTGTGGGAGACCAGATATAGTGAATGCAGAGTCATGGGTTTAGTAACACTTTGCTAGTAGTTATGGTCTAACCGGCTATTATACTCAGTGCTTTTGAAATAAACATTTATTTATCAAGTGATGTAAAAATATATTGCCAGCACATAATGTTAATTTTCATCTTGCAATGGTTGCACATATTTTTGCATGCATGCCTATTTGCTTAGAGAGCACAGCATAATGGGGTTAAAGTGGTAGTAAACTTGTTGAAGAAAAAAAAAAAAAAGTTTTCTGATGCAAGGGAATATCATAATGTGCTAGCTTGCATTGCATACCGGCACATTATATGAAAGACTTACCTTAGAACAAAGCTCTCCAGTGGTGCACTGTCACCGCTGGAGGCGCTTCCATCTTCACCTGGTCTTCCTTCCGGGTTCCCGGTCCGTGACTGGTTGAATGGCCAAGCCGCTGATGACGTCACTCCCACGCATGCACGTGGAAGTCTCGGCTATAGCACACAGCTCTGAAGGAATGGCAAGGGTATGCCGTTCCTTCAGCGTGCATGCTCCGGTGATGTCACTCTGTACAGCACCAGCTGCTGCTCTGTAGAATATCCCCTAAACGATGCACGTTATGAGAAAATGCAAAACGAGAATTTACTACCACTTTAAGAACACACTCCTTTCTTGTGTACATAGGCCCTTCATAATTTAGGGATCAATCACAGTGCTTGTCATTGTATAGTTCTGTAGCATTTTTAATACAGAATCTGAACACATAAATTACGCTGAGCACCTTATCTGCATATCAGACACAAAAAAGCATTATTTTAAAGCACACTGCAAAGATCTACTGCAAAATATGCATTGAACAATAGTGTACAGGTTAGCAGATAGGTTAAAACCCATTTCTAGGCAAACATTAAATGCCCTGCCACCCCCTCACTTTTTAACAGTTTTTTTAATTTAATGTTGAAACAAAGTTTAACTCACCTAATTCCGTCGTCCAGGTCCCTCGTCGTTTCTGGGAACACCATTGCAGATGTGCCCATAAGGGCTAGTCCTGAAAAGCCCCCTCATGCTGATGTAACTGCCATCAGACTCTCTTCTGAATCCTGAGAGATACCAGCACTGGAAAGCCAAAAGGAAGCTTCCACGTCACACAGGTGGTGACATAGACACTCGAAGAACAACCTTCCAATGCAGGAAAGAAGAGAAAGACCCGAATGTCACATAACTGCAGACCTAGGTGAGTGAAGGGGCATATAGGCAGGGTTTCTTAACGCCAACATTATAAGGGTGCAGACGTGTGTGGGCAGGGGAACACAGAGTACAGCTTTGAGAGGTCATGTACATGGTAGTGTGCACAAACATCCATATGCTCATGCAGAATGGCAACACAAGCATGCCAATTATCTGCATAAAGACTTCTCCACTCTAAGTTCTTATGCATTTCCTTTTAGTAAATCAGGCCCTATGCATGCTTTGCACCAACATGAGACGTACAGAAAAGTCTCATTAGTAGTTGCAGTGTAGGAACACACAACAGATCACCTTAGTAAGATCAGAGAATGTGCTTTTAAATTCCATTATGTATTAAATGAAGGGAGAGGAAGTTAATTAATGTTTCTACAATGCCTCTGGGAGCAATAAAGTACCAGCAAGCATTATTTATAGTCTACTATCTCACAAACATGAAATCTTACATGAAAGGAATAGCATGCTTGGGGAAATATTCTGTTTATGTTTTTAATGAAAAGTGTAATCAGATTTTTACCATAGGTAAAATCAACTCAAAGAAATATCTGATAATAGTATAATGTTTGAAAATCAGCTACATTTGTAATGCCTACGTTAATACCATAACCATGCTGTAGAAGGGTATTATTGCAAGGTCAAAAAAACATTTCATTTTATAACACTATAGCTGTTATACTATTATACACTATTTTGGAACATTTATATTAGCTTTCTACAAAAATTGATAATGAGGAATTGAAAGGTCTGTAGTAGTGTGCTGTTCACCATTTTGATTTCTTCCTAGCTTTGAGTAATTAATCAACATTTAGGTAAAAACTGATTAAAAAAAAAAAAACCTTTTGACCAACGCTACAGTGGTTTAGATCAATTTTCACCCCAATTCCAATATTTTGATCATGGAGCTGTGCATGCTGACCATATTTAAAATCTAAACGTGTGTGTAACATGAAACATGGTCTGAAAGATGAAGTTAGCTTTTAAGAAGGGATAATTGTTTTAGTGTTTGCCCTTAAAATCCTGTTTTCATTATTAGTCCAGGTTTGCTATTTTCCTAAGACCCAAGTAAGGTTCAACTAAATAATGAAAACATGAAATATCTGGAAATAGTGTATTAAAAAAAGATATTAGAATCAAATAGAAAGGCAAGCTGATACTTACTTTGACCTTTTGTTGATGATGGTATATCTGCCAGGCAATATGCACGTGCATGGCACACCATTTTCCAGGTTTCTGGCAGATGGAAAAGAAATATATTTATATTAAATTTTGAAAATCTTATCTACTAAAATACCACAGGTCTGTCTGTAGCAGACTGTGAAGACAATCATTAGAGGGTTACTAAAGACAAAACTTTTATTTCAGTTTGGAGTAAATGGAGGTTATAACCCCAGTCAGCTTTTTTTACCATCAGTGTCCTATAGCAGAGATTTCCCTTAACTTTCTGTCCCATAGCCAAAACAGGAAGTGAGAGGAAATCTCTCCAAAGTGAGAGAATCCCAGTGTGTCATCAGGGTCACCAGAACTAGTGTCCCCATTGGAAGATTTTCCCTCTCATATTGTTCTGATGTCAACCCCAAATTTGGGATTTTCTTGATGATAATGGTAAACAGGACAAATAAATAGGGTAAATCTCCCTAGCGGAGGCACAGACAGTAATATAAACCTGCCTCCCTTTCCGCTTCATCCAAAATGAAAAAAAAAAAACATTTTGCCTATGCTTACACTTTACATTTCTAGGATGGCCATTTAGAGTTACTTTTTTTTTTTAGTTTTTTATTATTTTGCAAAGCATACAGTTTTTTTTTATGTGTACTACAAATGTGTTATACCTAACTATGAGGATGATGAGAATAAGAATAACTTTGCTGGTTTACCTCAAGAAGGAAGAAGACTACATTCACATCTAGCTAAGCCCACAGGTCTATCATTGTGTAAAGAGTTGTAGCGTAAACACAGATTGATTTTTAATAGCCTGGCCACCATCAAGATGACCATTCACGAGTAATTCTGCAGATGGTGTAATATATCTAAGAATTACCCATTCTTTATGCTCAATACATTTTTAGATCAATATTGATTAAAATGTTGATATGGGGGCCTTAAGTGCAATTCTTGACATCATCAAAAGGCCATCACAGTTATTACAGCCACTTTACAAACCAATGCTCTCTAGAGATCCCTGAAAATCACTTGTGCCACATTTGAAATTTCTCTCAACAAGATCCAGTATAAAAGATCACAGGATTTAAAAAAAAAAAAAAAACATAACTCAAACATTTTAATTACTGCGTGTCAGTCTAAACATTTTTCCCTGGTCCAAGTTAGCACCTGGGTAACGGACACACATACTAATGTCTTCAAGGGCCCCCAAGATCCACACAGTAACTGCCAAAGGGAAGTGTTGTGCACCAGGGCTTTAGACAGTTTCCATTATGTAGCTAATGCTTATGATTTCTTGGTGCTTTCAGATGCTTTCTATATCTTTTCCCTTGAATGATGCATTATCTTGTTACTGCAAATGGATGTCATGCTATATATGCTACTGCTCTTTACACAGTGATTTTTAAACAAGTCCACGTATCTTCTATGAACAGGTAATCAAAGAAATGGTAAGGACCATCATGTTGGTTATATGAAAATGCTAATAAAAATCAAAGTGGCTTTTGTCATGGTATATTTGTAATGTATTTTTGACATTTTCCATTTAAAACTGGACAAGTGTCCCCTATTTAAGGTTTACAACAGAACTGCCTGCACTATGGACATAATCAGAAATCTGTTTATCCAATCAAATCCATTAATTTATCCATGTTTTCATATGCCAAAAAAAAGCGCTTACCCTCAACATAGGCCTGAAAGGATCTGTCAACTGTGAAGAAAAAATGACAACTTGGTTACATGCCTGTCACTCAGACAATCATTTTAATTAGCACATGCTTATTGGTTTATAATGAAAAGGTATTAAAATGCTGCAATTTTATTTTCAAATAAAACATTTAATAAAAAATGAGTCAGCTTCCACAAAATAACATCCAATATGAACTCAATACACAGTTATTATGTATATATATAATATACAGTTATTTCTAAAGTGAAATAATTGTGTTAGCAAGTATATTCATATGCATAAAGGAAAGATAGCTGAATTATATCTGCATCCTTCTACATTTTAGCCTGTATTTGTATGATAGCCAAGGCCACTGGCTTGTTTTCCACAATATGCCTTTTTTTCTCAAATACAATGTGGGATGCTTGGCATTGACAAGTATGACATGCTGGGTTGTCAACACTTGACAGCTGCTGTTTTGATATTCAGAGATTTTTCAGCAGTCTTTATTGATGTATGTATTAGACAAGGACAATCTTTCTTAATCAGGACGAAGGTACTTATATGAAAATTGCACGAGTATAAAAAAAGATCTCCTAAAGAGATGATAATGAACAAAAGTAACTGAATTTAAAATGTTTCCAGATGCACAAATATTTTCTTGGGAGACAGACTAAAGGAAGGTATCAGATCACTTGGTTCTACAGATAGTTATACCTTAATTGAAGCATTTAAAATATACATTTAGAACAATTCACATCGATTCACATGCTTTCTGACATGTGGTTTTTTTTTTTTGCATGTGGATGTGCATTTATTTCCTCAGCAAATGTCTACCAGCATTTTTTTAAGGTAACACGTATTCTGTATAACATGTATTGTGGTGCACTGAAAGGCTGGTGCATTTGTTTATACTGCGTGGGGATGTCATTCAAAATGTATGTCAAAGCACCACCATAAGTGCATACACAGCGTGTTCCGGTATTGCATGTTCATGCACATATTAGTGTGCACAAAAATGTGTATTTAAGAACTTCATTCTCTCAATCAACATTGACTACTGTTAAACCTTATGCTGCTAGCATTCATAAATAGATAGGAAGGTATAATATATTTACTTGTTTTGATCCTTTTTCTGCCAGGTCCATACGTACCTACAGCACTGCTTCTAGCTGTACAGCTTATTCACCTGCATTCCTCCTCTGCTATAAACTTATGAAAATTTCAGTGACCATGAACTTATAGCAGAATTGTTCAGCAGACGCTTTTGAACGAACTGATAGCTCAACCACAACCCCCCCCGCTGCTTCTCTCTCCTGTGTTTCCCATCCCTCCATCCGCCTATGCTGTCAGCTAAAATGCCCCCCACACCACTCTAACTCTCGCTTACACTACCTTACTCTGCCTGTTCTGATTCCTCCCCCTCCAGCATCAATCCCCCCCTTGCAGCTGCCCTTTAGCTGTCAGCTTGCCTCCTCTCCCACCTTCTTTCAGTGCTGCAGGGCAGACACAGAGGGATCCACTTGCTAGAATAGATACCCTCCCCCTGCTGCTCCGACCCCCCCCCCCCCTTTAGTGCCCCTCCCTGCAGTTGCTATCCGGCTCTCCTTTCTCCCCTTCCCGCTGGTTGCAGCTGCTAACAGGTCGCTGTCAGCATGGAGAGCATGGGGCTGGTAATGTGTTTACCAGACCCCTTCCTTTCCTGAATAAATACAGACAGCGATTAGTACAGATCGCTTTTGTATTCATTAATCACTGACATATAGTAAACTGTGCTTACTGTGTCAGTTTGTGAATGAAACATAGTAAACACTGTGTACTATGTTTCATCTTATGAATGAATAGGAGTCTATACAGACTCCTATCTATTCACCTACAGTGCAGCTCAGGCTCCAGAAAGGGACTGTCTTCAGCCCCTCTCTCTGTCTCAAAAAAGAGACATTAGAGGTCTGTTTAGACCACTGATGTCTCTCCAAAGTCCCCCCCCCCCAAAAAAAAAAAATATTAAAAATACATTTTATTTGGTCAACCAAACAAAATAAACAAAATTGTAAAAAAATAAAATAAAATAAAAAATAATAAGGCTGGGATCACACTACAGGATATGTGGTCTGCGTGTGCGTTGGTATGGCAGCCCATCCATTTGAATGGGTTGTCATGCCAGTGTTTCACGCAAAAAAAAAAAGCTGCATGCACCTTTTCCAAAACACATCCGCAGGGAAATCACATTATCTTTTTGACCATGCGTTTTCCCTGAGGTTCCCGCATCCGTGATTGTGCTGTGGGCTGAGATGCATGGGGGTACCAGCCAAAATGAGTGGCAGCCCCGCTTGTCTAGTAAGAGAAGCTGTCTTCAGTTTCCTTCTCTGTTTGAAAGAAGAGACATTAGAAGTCTGTTTAGACCCCGATGTCTCTCCAAAGCCCCCCTTCCAAAAAAATGTACCTCTTCAAAAAAAGTTAAGTTGTAAAAAAAAAAAAAAAGAAGTAAGGGTAGATTTAGACATGCGTCTAAATCTACCTTGATTCTGAAGCTTGATCTATGTTCAGGTCGCACTCCAGTGGCTACTGACAGGCAGTGAGGAAGCGATGCGATGCCTCCTCACTGCCTGTTTTACCAACAAATGCACCACAAATGCATGCACTGCACGGGGTTTGCGTCGCTTTCCCGTTGACATGAATATGTAGTGTTTGGTGGATGGCATCGCTACACACTGTGTCAACTTTGGTACCGGTGCAGAACATCACAGTATCATTTTCCTGTCCACTGCCTATTGCAGCTTATATGGGGGGGTTTCAACCGTGCTTTTTTGTCACCCTCAACCGCAAGTCTAAACAAGGTCTAAGGCCTCGTTCATGTGGAGCATACAACAGCAAGGCCATGTTTAGCTGCAGAGGGATGCACAGATGTTCCGTGCATCCCCATGCAGGCAGTCCCTTCTATATCAATTGGGATGCACTGGCTGCATCAAGACAGCCATTACTCCCAACTAGACATCCATGTGGGTGTATGTCCCTGAACTCACACTGTCTGCATTTGGGGCCATAGACCTACACCCACATGGATGTCAGATCTGTCCTTGCAGCTGCTGCATCCCAATTGACGTGAAAGGGGCTGCCTGCACAGGCAGAACACCTGTGCATCCCCGTGTGGGTAAACATGGCCCTCCATGGACATATGCTTTAGTACGCCCCATTGAATGAGGCCTTAGTAGAAATTTAACAGGAATTTTGTAAGGTATGTTGTGGCTTTGTGCGCAAATAAGAATTTTTTTTTTTTTGTGAAAATAGCGATTAGGTAAACATTCACTCAACTATTGTGGGGCCTAAAATAATCAGCAGCACCTTCTTTTTATCCTACTGTTCATGTGCTTTCAGAAAATATATGGTTTGGGGTGTCTTTTATAAACGCTGAAAGCTGTAAGTGAAAGATAAAAACATCCAGATTTTTAGAGAAATTTTTGCGTACATTTGACTTTCACCATTTTGCAAAAGGGCACAATTTAAAATTGACAAATAATTGTTATTTATTAACTCAACACAGATTAAGCTTTTATATTTTGTAGGAATTTAGCAGGAATTTTGTAAAATGTGCTGTTTTTGTATTTGCTTATAATGATTTTAATGCATTTTTAGCGAAAATATAGTTTTAGTAAACATTTGTGCAAATATCGCGGGGCCTTAAAAATCAGCAGCACCTTCTTTTTTTATTATACCAGTCATGTGCTTTCATAACAAATATATGGTTTAGGGGGTCTTTTACAAACTCTGAAAGCTGTAAGTGAATACGGGTGAAAACTGCAAAGGAGTATGTCTATTATATATATACAGGCCAAAGGCAAATAAAAATATCTACAGCCACCTTTTTTTTTAGTTTAACAATTGCCTCTGAAACATATGTTCCCAATTGATGATTTACCCTTACCTCTTATTATTGGGACAGCTCTAAACTTTGGTATTTCCCCTTCTCAGTGACAATCATCACCAGTAGAAATAAGGTGCAAAAATCGACAGCAAAAAAATGACAGAGGGTCTAACTTTTCATCTTCTATTTAAAACAAAAAAAATGCTTTGCCTAGAGATACACTTTATTGAGATCTGTGAAGGACATATGAAACTGCTATCTAATTACAGACTGTTGGGTTATGTTTTAACAACAAATCAATAGCTAAAGAAAAGTGGTTTAGAACACTAACAAGTGGCCACATAGCTGCTGCTACATAAGCCTTTTAGACATAAAATAATCATGGCTAAATAAAAATCCTGCAATATTCTGGAACAATGTTTTGCCTGTAATATACATTATGCGACAGTGGTAATATATGGACTCTTTTCAGAGAGCGAATGAAGAAATAGCATGCCTAACTCCTTAGCTGTCCATGTACTAAAACTATTTTTTCCACTGCTCACCAGCCACTAATGATTGGCAGTCTAACAACAGCTGCAGAGGAAAAATGGGCACAGATTCATCTTCATACAATATAGAGAAAGAAAAATTATATAGTTTTTAAAATGAACATAAATACCACTTGCCATTGTCTGCATAGCTAAATCCTTTGAATACATACTCCTGTTTGTACAAACCAGACTTGGAAATCAAGAGACTCCAATCCACCAATTACATCAATATTTCATCAGCACACTCAATAATACAGCAGCTCTGGGAATACGGGACTGTATCATTACAACAACAACAAATACTGCATTTCATGCACAAACTCTTTCCACTCCATCACCACAGGGAACCCGCCTTGCTTTGGAAAGAAAAAAGTGCAATGGACGACAGGCTTACAGACAAAAAATATATTTGTTACAGCTAGACAGAGATACTCATTTTTCTTCTACATACAATACTATCATATCAATCTACTGATCACAATTACAGCTGTTTATAATGGCCCCCTCCTGAAAGTGAGCAGGTAAGCAAAAAAAATTAACCACAATACTAAAACAAAGCACATGATTCTGTTTTTCTATTCTAATTGAATATATCAGTTTCCCAGAGTTGTATAGTGTTAATTATTTACAGAACAGAGTCTCCATCT